TTTCAAGAAACTTGGTGAGCCAAAGAAACTTCAAAGAAAAAAGTCAAAGTAAAAACTCATGTGAATATCGTAACATGGGGGGATTGAAAAGATTTGAAAACCTTTTTATATACACACGTAAACAATTCCCACACTTGTGGGAGTAAACAAAAAAATTCAGCTGGGGGTATAATTTGCGGGACCTCAATCAGGGGCCTGCTAAAACTTATTTTGATGTATCATTATCGGTATTGATTTATGGGCTTGTACTTGTTTGATTAAATATCGATAAAAATATCATAATTTTGGCTAAAATCAAGAAATTAAGTTCTTACACAGTATCGTATTAGTGAAAAACCTAAGAAATTAATATCATTAATGAAGGTGCTGGTGGCGCTGTAGTCTGTCGCTGCTATCGTATTATAAATATCGTCATATTAGCTCCTGGTATCTCATCAGACATCCTACGTCGATGGTTAAAGCAAGGAAAGAATACAGCTAAAACGTCTCCTGGTACCCGTCTTTACAACATATCTTCTATTTTTCCAGAGTTGACTTCACAATATGTCGATAATAACGCCGCCGCCGCCACCACCACCAACAAAAAAAGGATCCCAACTTCCAGAATATAAGTGAAAACGAATAACTGCACAAAAGTTTTCTGAAAGATTTTCGTTATTATAATGAAATTTTATTATGTCGGGTTGTAGTTATTTAATAAAATGGGAACACAAAACAGCTATTATTCGTATATTAATACGGCAAGTCATAAAAAAATCATTTAATCTTGTACAAACAACACAAACAAACGTTAATTCGACACTTAATCCATGTATGGCACTTTACAAGAATGAACAATCTAAAGAACCTATAGAGCGGATGGGTATGTTGCACTGTTTGTACTGGTAACAGGGTCTTAATTAGGAAAATTTATGAAATATGAATAGGATGATATAGTTAATGCAAGCACAGTGGTGATTGTGATTGACGTTAATGACGTTAAAGTGACAAACAAAGCAGGTAACACAGAGAATATCTGAATTTCTTGGCAACCACGTAAAAAAAAAAGCTTAAAACAGGTAACACAGAAATATCTGAATTTCTTGGCAACTGGAACGAATTCACGTAAAAAAGCTTTTTCATTTTTTTATTTTTCTGATAAATATCTTCATTGCTTTGTTCTCAATAAGAAATGGTTTTTCTTAGCACCGCCATTTCGCATTCTCGTTTAGCGAATTCTGACCAATCTGAAGGTGATAGTCATGAGGTATACACAAACACAAGTGACGAGTTTTTTTTAAGTTGTACTTAAGTTTTAAATTACGATATTTTTGTAACCCTCAATTTATTTTCTCCAAAGGTTTATTCCACTACAATTTATGGAACTCGTTGGTCCACAGAGCCAATTCCAAGGTAATTATTTAATAATTCAAAAAAAATCCGTTTTATGTTCTCAATTTGGTTTCATTCTTCATTAATTACATTCTTTTTCAATTAACACGTAGATATGAGTTGCCAGAAGATGAAATGCCACCGAAAGTAAGCATTTTACAATTAATTGACTTTTAACTAAAAAGTGCTAATGAACATTAAATTGTATTATAAGTGTGCCTATAAATTTATAAAAGACGAACTAGCGGTAGGTTTAGTAGTTTCTGTTGGGCAAAGCCGCAATTTCTTTGCGCGTTTTTTTTTAAATTAAATTTTCCTCTGTAAAAATTATAATAGCTTGACGGTAATCCGCTTCTGAATCTTGCTTCATTTGTCACCACGTATATGGAGGAGGAAGCAGAGAAGTTGATGGCGGAAAATCTCTCAAAAAATTTTATTGACTATGAAGAATATCCGATTTCTGTCGAATTACAAGTAATAATCATATGCATATTTATAGCGAATTTTGCTTTTTTGATTACTGTTTTGAAGTTTTGTGTTCTTTTTTTTCCAGAATCGTTGCGTTAACATTATCTCACGTCTTTTTAACGCGCCATTGGATGACCCGAACGCCGAAGCAATGGGTGTCTCGACCGTGGGAAGCTCTGAAGCGATTATTTTGGCCGTGTTAGCAATGAAGAAGCGATGGCAATTAAAAAGACTCGCTGAAGGAAAATCCACAGAGAAACCAAATCTAATTATGGGTGCTAATGTTCAAGTGTGTTGGGAGAAGGGTATTGATTTCGCTTCTTTTTTATTTCCCTATAATGTGTCGATAATTATATTAGTTACATTATGCTTATTATATTTTTTTAGCGTGTCGATATTTGGAGGTTGAGGAACGTTATGTTTATTGTACAGAGGATATGTTCATTTTAAAACCCGAGAAGGCTGTTGAATTGGTTGATGAAAATACTATTGGTATTTGCGCTATATTAGGGTACTATTTCAGATTAATAATGTTTATTTGTGTTTCATGTTATAAAATTTTTACCAGCGAATAGAGACACCAATTGGATGTCTATCCCGTTATTTTAGCCTAGTCAAATTCAATTCAGGGATCGACATAAGGATTTGGAATCCTGTTGCAGATCATAGCTGTTATAACTTACTATTACTAAAACTTTATTCAACGTTATGAAATGTTTCTTCATCTCTATATCTATGTTAAATAATAGGTCGACTTACACGGGCCATTATGAAGACGTGAAACTTTTGAATGATCTTCTCATCGAGAAAAATAAAGCCGACAATTTTGATGTTCCGATTCATGTCGATGCAGCGTCTGGCGGATTTGTTGCTCCCTTCGTGTATCCAGAGTTGGAATGGGACTTTAGGTAAATGATCAAAATTCCGGAAAAAATTAATTAATAAATAAACGAAAATTTAATGTTTTATTATCTAAAAGACTACCTTTGGTTCGTTCAATTAACGTATCTGGGCATAAATATGGCCTGTGCTATGCTGGTGTCGGATGGGCAATCTGGAGATCAGCCGAATATTTACCCAAAGAATTGATTTTCAATATCAATTACTTGGGTTCTGATCAAGTATGATAAATGGTAAAATCTTTGTGTAATTCTTCTTTTAATATTTTAACTTTAAATTATTAGGCTTCGTTCACTTTGAATTTCTCTAAAGGCGCATCACATGTGATTGCTCAATATTACGTATTAGTAAGACTTGGACGAAAAGGTTTTACATCAATTATGACAAATATCACTAACACAGCTGATCATTTGGCTGAACTCTTGGAAAAGACCGGTAGATTTGAGATATTAAGTGAACGTAATGGTAAAGGTTTGCCACTGGTAGCTTTCCGATTAAAAACCAATGCTCATTATAACGAGGTATTTATTATTTTTTTTTTCATCTTTATATCCTAAATTCTCGCTTCTCACAATATAATTTGAATATATTCACATAGTTTGATATTGCCAACCGTATTCGAGAACGTGGATGGATCGTACCGGCATATACGATGGCACCGCATGCACAAAATGTTAAATTATTAAGAGTAGTTGTACGTGAGGATTTTTCACGTCAAAGATGTGAAGTTTTCGTTAAAGATTTATTAAACGCCTTGTCTCTTTTGGACAAATTGGATGTCAAAAGTATAAAAGAAAAACGTACCGCAGCGCAACGTTGGACGTTATTGAAGAACGTTACTCTTGCATTCAAAGGTCATAAAGACACATCCATTAAACAGAATACTATATGTTAATAAAGAAAGATATGTTTATTCTATTTCTTATTAATTATTATATTATTTTTTCTAAAATGTAATTTTTTATTTACTATTACAATTCAATGTGTTTAATGAATTCTTGTGCTTCTGTTGTTGTTGGCTGTGTTATAAAAGTAGTGCTTGGCGTATCTATTATTGTTTCACTTTCTAATATATTTCTACTACTAGAATCGCTTTCACTTTGTGAGGGTATGATAGTTGCTGTGGTAGTAGTAGCTGTCTCTGATGATGTAGTTGTGTCTGCCTTTGATTTTTTAGACGAATTTTTATTCATCAATCTCAGAAATTCGTTGTAAATTTCCTGTGCTTTGTTATTTACATCTATCACACGGAATACAGGGTCAACATAGAGTGGAATTTGCTCTTGTTTGTTAACAGCCTCATTAATCCAATTTTCAATTTGATTGCATAACTTAGATAAAGACTCGAGCTCTTGGTCTGTAGAAATATTAGTTCGGGTGTTTTTTATAAATTCCCGAGCAACGATTATCGCGTCTCGAAGATAAGAGACGGCTGCCGGACGTCGAAGATATTCTTCGCGACGAAAAGCGAGCGGCTTTTCAAACGATCTAAAAAATAATTTCGTTGTCAATCTCAGTAACCATTTTAATTTAGAGAAAATAATTTATGCTTACTTCAACTGATCAAGTTTTCCCTTAAATTCATTTATTGAGGCATGTTCACCACCTTCATATATCCAATCGGAAACCTCGGATAATTGTGACAGGAAATAACTTCGTTCATTGCTGGTGGTTACTTTAATAGTGTTTTCATCATTGAGAAATTCTTGAGCACGATAGACAAAAGACTCTAAATTATTTCGTGCTTCATCAAGAACACGTTTCTCATAATCAAATCGATCCATCATTCTTAAACTTTTTAATGCATGGTTAGGGAAAGAAATGAATACTTGCTCAATAAAGAAAAAGACCATCAAATTCAAGATTAAAAATCAGTCATTACCGATCAAAGGCATTTCTTTTTACATTCTCGTTCATGGGAGGGATCCCGAGATATTGCACATCAAGTCGTAATTTTATTGTTTCCATCTTAGCTTCTTTAGCGGTTGGCTCTGTTTCGTTGCTGGCAGCATCATTGTTGATTGATGACGATGGAGTCGATGAATCTTCATTTTTCCTAGCTTCCTACATAGAACAATTCTATAAGTTTTTCGGTTCTAGAATTTAAATCAAATCAAAAAAAAAAAAGTAGTTAAATATTACCTCAGGAATAGGTGCATCTTTAATTGACTCTTCAGTGGTATTTGTATTCACTCCGAAAAATGATTTAACTTTGTCTAGAAAAAACCGTGATATTTTTTAAATTATATTGAGTAACTTGATCTATTTAGTTAACTACATACCAGCTAATGAAGTTTGTTCGGTGGCAATAGTTGCGATGGCGTCAGTAGCAGATAAAATGCCGGAATCCGATAACTGAATAGTCACCTTAACTTTTGGTCGCTCAACACTTACATCCTTGAATCTCTCAATTGCTTCAGATAACCCATTGACTTGAGCTATCGCAATGTCTTTCGGTCCAAAATCAGTATCCATCTCTTGTACAAGTTGTCCGTATTTTAATCCGAATTCAAAATCAGTGGTACGTTTAAATGTCATTATTTTTCGGGTACCAATTGGCGATAAGGAGTTAAATAAACTTGTTCGGAAATTTTTGCTTTTCATTGTCCCTATAATTACGTACATGTAATCAAATACCAAATATTTATAAGAATTTCTAGTGATCGGGTTGGACGATTTGTTCAAGTGCATACCATCTTCAGCCTCCTTAGGGTCCATAGTGTATTCAACATCAATAGGATAAATAATAAGATCTTTTACTTTAATTTCTTTGACTTTGAATTGTCCACTTAATCCTGCACCTCTAAACACAGCTCCCAATGCCGCGGCCTCGTCTCCATTAACATTTTTGGCGATTTTATCCCTATATATAAAATCAATTCTTTTAATCCTGATTGATAATCATTAAAAATGACATTAGATATAAATAACATACTCTCCCAATATAGATGATAGAACTGCCTGAACAGCAGGAACACGTACACCGCCACCAACCAACACCAATGACTTGATATCATCCTATTAATTAATGTAAAAAACAGCATTTAGCATAAAAATAAAAACGCTTATCCTTTCTTTCTTACCTTAGAAATTATTGTTTTACTGAGCGCATCATTAATGGGGGCACTAACACGTTTTAAAAGGTCATCTGAAAGACTTTCGAGTTCTTTTCTCGTTACGGGTAACCGAAAATCAAATTCTTCATGCAAATTTTCAATCTATGAAAATTCATTTGAAATTTGAATGATTAAAAATAATTCGTATAATTCAATTTACTATAACAATGCATCGAATAATTACCGAGGCAAGTGTTTCTGTGTTTGCACTCAAAATTTGTTTTACGCGATTCGCCTCCTTAAGCAATTTAACCATTGCACGTTCCGACGTAAATATCGAATTTTTTACTTTTCCTTTATGTAATTTATCGAATTCATTCGCTAAATGTTTTTGCAGACGAAGATCAAATTCTTGTCCACCCAAAGTTCTATCAAATCCAACCGAATTCACTTCTAATTGAATTATTGTTTTGTTGAAACGTCCCACGTCCTTTACATTTGCAGTCTTGAAGCTAATAAGACTTGCTACGGTGCTGCCGGCACCCATATCGTAGAAAATATGATACTGTGGCTCATTTGTGAATGATGAAAAATGACTAATGGCATAATTAATTGCAACTATTGCAAAAAAAAACAAGGATAGAATATCCTTATAAATACAATGAAGATAGAGGGAAAAAAGACGAAATTAAGAATATAAAGAAAATAATAATCACCAGCAGTTTCATCATGAATTAATGAAATTACATTTAGTCCAGCTAAATCAGCTGCGTCAAGAATTGCTCGTCTTTCGAATTGAGTAAAAAAAGGGGGAACCTTTTATATAAAAGGATTTCAATATTTATTATATTTTAATGTTAACCAACCATTCATTAATAATAATTGGCCGAACCGTGATTATAGCATCCCGTAAAGATTCTTGAGCTGTAGCTTCAGCTTGTTCTTTAGCGTGTGCAAGTTGCATTGCCACAAGTTCTTCAACAGAATAAACGTCATTATTTACTTTAAATGAGATAGTATTTCGCGAAGGATCGCGAAGCATTTCGTTTGGATAAATCGATCGGTATTCATTAGCATATTTATCATCAAAGGAACGACCGAGAACTCTTTTCAGGCTAAAGAATGTATTTCTTGGAAACCGAGCTGCCTAAAGAAAGATTAAAAATTTACTAAAAACTAAAAAATGGTGAAATATATTTAAAAACTAAAAAATGGTGAAATATATTTAAAAACTTACAAGATTAACCGAGTCAGAACCATAAACCCTTTCACTTTCCCGTATGGTTAGCGTCGATTGGGTTTTACGTTTAGAATCTCTATTAAGAACAATTTCCATTGCCACACCTGGCTTTACTAAAGCTACTTTAAACCATTCTGTTCCATAATCAATGGAAAGCACTCCAGCTTCACATCGTAAGCTTGAATAATAAAGTAATAATATAATAAAAGCGCCGACACCACTTATTAATTTGCTGAAAAACATCTTTATTATGTCAAAAAATTATTTCTCGAAAATTTTTGAATAAAAAGCAATGATGAGTGTAACAATCAACATTTGTCATAATTTCATTTGACAGAGTGGGGAATGAATAGACTTTCGTCTCACACAAAAGTAGTTTGGTTGAATTGTTGTTTTTCTTGCCATTCTTGATTATATCTACAATGGAAATTGACCGGATACTTTACGACATTGACGTCGTTGCTGTTTGGAAACCAGACGACGAAATTGCCGCGGATCAAGAAAATAGTGCAAATTCACAACTAAGCCTTTTCAATAATACAGAAGGTGGTGACCCTTCTTATTCGCAACTACCAAAACGTGTCTTTAAGCAATTCACCCATCGGTTAGTACGTAGCTTAGAAGGTCTTACAATTTCCACGACGGTTCCTCCGGCGCTTTTACAAGCTTTACCTAAAGTAATGAGCGAATGGTGCATGCAACTTTCACCAAATGGCGAATACCTGGCAGTACTCCAAGAACATAAAATAGAATTTCGTTCAAATAAAAAAGGTTTTGAAACAGTCCACTCAATATACAAGTACACAGTGAAACGGGACACTTTTCCGAAATGGAGACGCGTTGCTTGGAGTTTAGATTCGAAAATTGTCGCGGCTTCCCGTAGTGATGGGACAATTGATATTGTTGATACGGAAGGAAACTTGGTGTGTACCATTCTACCAACTTCCAAGACATCCAGTTTACCTCGACCTTTGAATATTAGCTCGTATGGAAATGGATCGGAAGAACAAAGTGGTTCCAGCTTTTTCCTGGAGCCTGTTGCTTTTTTGGCTTTTATTGATCCTAAACGTGGTCAGAAAAAAAGCGTCTTCAAAGGCTATATATACCAATACGAGTTGATAGTTGTGACATATGATGGAATACTACGTAGCTATTTACTGAATACTTCAGATCCCGCTGCAAAAATTGATTCTTCTTTGCGTCGATCGCGTACACGATTGTCTTATTTGCGAGAGGGTGCAGAAGATCCAGGTCTATTCGTGTATTATCATAAATTTTCATTTAAGAAATGGCTTTCAACTGTAGTTTGTGGCGTCGTTGACAGCAATTGCAAATTTATGTGCCTTGGAGGTAAACCTAACAGCCCGATTGTAGAAGAGGGCGGTGATGTAAAATATTCTTCGGTGGCGTGTTGGCTTTTATTGCCTGATCGACCGTATTACCGAAAACTAGATCTGGAAGGTACAAATGAAAAGCCCATTGATAATTTGGCACAATTGAATGAAGAGGGCTCTATTGATGACACCGGATATTTCTCTCGAATAAAAAACATTTTTTCTACATGGCGAAAAGTAAATAAAAAGTTTACCCATGAAATAGTTCAGCGGATGATTTTATCTCCTGATCAGACTTCTTTATTGACGTTAGATTTCTCTGGTACACTAAATCTATGGGATATCTCTATCAACAGCGGTATTGAATTGCAAAAGTCATGGAATCAAGATGAGCTTAATTACTTCGCGAGAGACAAAGAATTTCTTGGCCTCTCATTCGAGCAATTCACCGATAAAATTGATGACTTTGAAGAAGAAGGCGGTTCAGTTGCAGGGATCAATGGATTAGATAATGGAAAAGTGGTTTCGATTGGCTGGTGGTCGAATGACGCGATCATAATTGGTTATCAACATGGCTCCTTGATTATCGCTAGTTATCCCGAAATGAATAATATTCTGGGTGAATCACCAGAGGTATTTAAATCGTGTCGTGAGATTACTAGTCAAAGGGATAATCGATTTCTAGTAATTGAACATGAAAATAAAACGATTCGCGCTAGGGTTCATGGAGACAATCTTATATCTTACTCAAGAGCACAAGAGGAAGGAGACATGGACGAAGAATTTGCAGATGAAAAATCGCCATTGCGTAAATTGTTATCAACAATTGGAAATTCAATGCACTATGTTACCGATACATTTCTTTGGCATTTTGAAAATGACGATTCTTCTTTGCGTGGTAAATTTGTAACAATTTCCAAGCGAACTCTTCGTCTAAATCGAATCTCGAAAATTCTGCCCGAGGATTTGCTCAAGCGCAAGATTCGCGCACTTGAATATGATGATGCGCTAGTAATTGCAGAGACTTATAACCTTAATACAGACCCAATATATCAGGCACGATGGCGGGATGCAGAGATTTCAGAAACAGCGATTCATGAATATCTTGATAAAATTAATGATCGTAAATGGGTTCTTGAGTCTTGTCTGGAACGAATTCCCGATTTTCGAGAGCCTGCTGAAATGTTATTAAACTATGCTCTTAAAATGTCTGACATTTTAGAAACAATGCTCGATTCATCAATGTCGTCGTTATCTATCTCTACGAAATATAATCCTAAAGTTTTAGCAAAAACATTAAGAGAAAAACCACTTGATTCTGATCCTTGGGTTGAAGAAATGTTAAAAGCTATGAATTTTTCAGAACATTATTTAAATATATGTAGATATAGATATTACGCGTTGAAGTATTTAGATCGATTACGTACATTTAACGATATTATGAAAATAAAAAGGAATGAAAATTCTAAATCGAAAGAAATTGCTATAGAAGAAGATACTGCCTTGAATTTTGCTGATTATGCTTTGACTTTTGCTGACGATTATGGTTTATTCCGTGATGACAGCATTGCTGCACAAGCGATGGACTTTGCGACAGACGAATTCTTTGGAGGGTTACAAATACTGTTCACTAGACATGGACCAGAGACACTACCATATCGATTTGACATTCTTGAACAAATTCCCGAAACATCTGATCCAGATGCATATGAAAATCTTTTACCTAAGGTGAAGAATTCTTATAACGAAGAGGACAATTCATTAGAGTGTTTATGGGATGAAAAGCCATGGCGTGAACCAGATTGGGTCGAGAATCCTGTCTTAAAGAGTCTTATATTGAGACAAGATGAATTAGAGGAATGGGATTTTGAAGAAATTGGTTTGAAGAAAGTCCCTTACCCTGCTTCATCATCTCATATAACAAATTGGTATTATAATCGTGCGCATAAGATTGATCGTATGTCTGGACAAGTGGACAAAGCTCTCAAGTTTGTTCGACATGGTATTCATAAAAATGTTCGGAATCTCGAGACTTTGGAAGAAGATTTGCACATGTTGGCTAAACTTGTGTATGATTGTTACCCCGCCTCAGATCCTATTAGTATTTCTATGACCCTTCTCGAATGGGAATCTCTTTCCGAAGCAGAAATTGTGCAAACATTTCTTAGACAGACGGATGAAACACGTATTGTTAATGATATAAAGCAGTTTGTTATACCGTTTTTGCAATTATTGCCTTCACGTCGCGCTCGAGAAACACACGGGGATATTGAAAAGAATAACAACTTGAAGACACAAATTTTGGATCTTTTATATGATTACATACTAACACTTTCAGAGAATCGGTTGGATCTATGTTGCCTTATATTTGAAGCATCAAAGCCCATTTTTGATACTGCTGATCGTATTATTACCTCTGACACAGATTTAGTTAGGATAGCGCTTTCTTGTCTATATGGTAATGAAAGTACCGATCAATGGGAAACTATGACACGAATTTTTGAATGTCTGCCTATTTTTGATGTCGATGCCTCTGACGATTCGAATATAAAGCTTGACATTGAATTGTCTCAAAAAATGACACCAATCTACTTTTATGATACATTCAAAACAAAGAATGAGAAAGAGCTACAACGCATTATTGATTTTCTCGAAATACATTTAAATGCTTCAGAAATTCTTTCACGTTATGATAATCCAGTTCCGTTGCAATGGTTTTTACAGAGCGCAGATGATTATAAGTTACAAAAACAGCTTAGTATTAAACTTGTACGAAAAGCAAGTGGAGGACCTGAAACGGGCGGTGAAAAATTTGAGAGTGAAGATGAATGGGCATTACTGCTTGAAGATATGTTAAAATTACAAGATAATGGAAACGGTGTATTTGGAAGATTGTCCGTTAATGAAATATATAGAGATTTTATATCTGGGTTGTTGAACTGTGGCAGTATCCTTTGATCGTATTGTGTTCTTACTCAAATATTAATTTAATGATCCATAACAATCATTTCTTTTTTTTTGATTTAATTGTAGAATTTCTCTTGGCGCGTGAAATTCTCTTTCCAATAGATCAGCCTAATCCTTTAGATATCTCAACGGCTGAAAAACTTGTTATTGATTCTTCACGAGAATTTTTTGACAACGCAACTTCGGGAAACATGAATTACGGATACATGAAAAAGGCCTATGAATGGTTAGATGTTTTCTCTTTACATATGCAAATTTAAGAAGAAACTATAGTTTATTCTTGTTACTTTTTATTTAGTCTTCAAATACTTCCAAAATCCGAACCCATCAAATTGGAACTTGAGCTCATAGAGGCAACGCATATTCTCACCGAACGAAAGATATATTATCAGCCTGGAATTCCGATACATCCACTGCAAATTCGGCTAGCTCCAAACCGTCTAGACTTGATTGCGCGATTACTAAGTACACATGAAACAGCTTATCATGAGCCAGAATCGATCTTGGAATTAGCTCGGAAGCTCGGATATCGAAATGACAAAGTTGCTGAGGTCAAAGTATTGGCAATGCTTTCGGATGCTGCATTACGTGATACCGAGTACGCTGTTGCGTATGAAAGGTGCATGGATGTCGTCAAAGTAACAAAGAATATTATCGCTGCAAATATAGCAAAGTCAAGTTCAACAACGATAACTACTGAAAGTGAAGAAAAATCAGAATTGTACGAAGCCAAAGATGTGTCATGGCGAGTTTGCTACGAAGTTGGGAAGCAAGAAGGATATGCGGATATAGAAAAACGTATGACACTTGTGGGATTTGCATTAGCTTTATGTCCAGTCAAACAAGCAATCAATATATTGAATTTGTGGAGAAAGCTTGAAGTTGAGTACAAATCATTACTCGCAAGTAAAGCGGCAGCATTATTACGTGATTCTACAACAGATGATGAAAAGTCACACTTGAATATTGGAGAATCGGTAATTTTAGGTACACCGATAATAAAAATTGATAAGTTAAAGAGTTTCGTAAGTGGTTGGTTTTGAATCGATCCATAAATCAAGCTTATGCACAAAAAGACATTCTTATTGAAAATAAATTTGGTATTATGTACTCTTTGAAAAGTTTTTTATTGTAAAATATCCTAATAAAAGATTAATAATATAATGACAAGTCTTGACACCTGATGTTTGGCTTGGACTGTTTTCAACAACAGTTTCCAAACCTGTGATATACAAAATACTTTCTAACTAGAATTTCCTTCGAGATTGGCTTTTTTTCCTTTACCTTCGAAATGTTTTTTAAGAAGCTAATCAAGTTTCAAAGACTTAAGCAATAATAACGAATAAGATAAGAATCTAAATGAAAACATTAATTCATTCAATATCAAAGATTTAATTTGTTGCTCTTATTGTGTAAATTTATTAGACAAAAAACAGCATTCTAACATCACTCTTGATATTCATAGTAACACAGCACCAGTAGATCGTTATACCAGGTACAGATCTAGCTAATATCCATCTTGCCTCATCTGCCCGCTAGAATTTGCTTTCTCAATAAACTCTGTATCTTGATCCCAGCCAAAATATGAATCAAACGTGAAATAAAGAGTGTATTATTGGTGCCTAATCTAATAAACAGATAAATTATTATATATAAACACCACACGTCTTACTTCATATATATCATTTTATTATTCGTTAGCTAGAGGTGAATTATAGATCGGAAGAAGCACCGAATCACCAGTCTTTACTCCAAGCGATTTAATATTTCGTTTCTTCCTTGGCATTTTTTCGACAAGGTGTGGTACTACTTCCATGATATTCTCATAGATTTGATGAGATGACATTGTTGTTTTGCCGATTTTTACTGAACTATTTTTTAATGTTAAATTAACTTAAATATCAATTATAGAAACAACAACATCATGATGATGATGATGATGATGATGATGATGATGATTTTATTTTATACTTACAAACAATTCCCGGGGGTGAAATGTAAATAAGTTGAATTACACGCTCGATTAATTTCATTTTTTAAATTGTTAGATTTCAAATTCACTGGTATCGGTTGTCTTTAAAAAATTTAATTATTAAAATTAAAAATCCATATTACACGTTTGCAATTTTAATTTAATATATACGATAGAAAATAAAAAAATGAATGCTTACTTTTTCTTTTTGAAGAAACATTTTCCCAGTAATTTAGGAAGAAGCGGAATTACACGTTCATCGGTTAGAAATAGTTCGTAGGAGTCACAAAGAATTCTTCGTGCTTCGTATTGCTTGTATTTTGTACGTAGTTTAGAAATGCCAATCACCTTTTTTAAGGTCATGTAAATAATTATGTGGTTTCAAAAATATGGAATAATCAGAAAAATGTGAAAGAGCATACATGTACCTTATTGATCCGTTTTATCCCTTTCTCGACCAACAACTTTTTGAATTCCTCTTGCGGATCCTTTGTGATCAGGCAAATTTCTGTATCAGGTCCATAGAACGGATGTTTCAATGGTCTTAATAATAATAGATGAATACATTTAATTTACTTTTTTAAGTAAAAAGCAAGCAAAATCCATTCATACTCACAATCTTACAGGCATATTCTTTGACAGTTGTGAAAATCGATGTGTGGCAACTTGTAGCCATACTGTTTCAACATTTGGTATTAAACTTTGTGGTTGTTGTAGTAAATTTTTCTTTCGTTCTATGTCATCAGTTTGTTTTGTTTTTGTCTTTGACGAGACATACTTTAATATAGCGTCAGCTGCTTTTTCAACCTATTATCACAAAATTCATTTATAATAATAAATAAGCAATAATTATTTGGGTATATCATTATCTTTAAAATAAAATACAGCAGTAATGTGGTAGTCAGTTAACTTCGACAGAACAACCAATGCTTTACCAACTCATTATCTAGCATTGTAACATTTATTTATTTATTCGTAAAAATAATTTTCTGATTCAAAAAAAGTTTCCGAAAAAAAGTTACGAATCATGTGATTTTTTTTAATATGTGATTTTTTCTATCAAAAATTATAATCTTAAATAGATCTAAATAGCTTGACTGTTCAAATAACTTCAAGACATTCTAGCTCTATTACAGTATATTTACTTTCTTCTTTACTTACTCTTCTATTGGCATAGGTAATCATGTGTTCCTTTTTTTTACTGTCATATTATATGAATTAATTATTTTTTTAGCTTGATAATTTTTTGTAGATAGATATATCAGATATTATAAAGAAAAATATTAATTTTTATATCAAATAACTAGTTATTATTATATACTTATATGTGGATATAGTCTGATAAATTTTTAAAATAATATTTTACTATATATAATTATAGCTTAATTTTAGTAAGAATGATAATATTAATATAATAAAAGTAAATAAGTAAGTAAAGATCTTTAACTTTTTCATATATATTAAGATCTCTATAATTTAAAATGATAATTTTTAGTATATTTATTTATTTTATACCTATATTATTATCTGATGAAAATATATATAATATATTTTGTAAAATTATAGAAGAGTTTATTATAATAGGATTTATATAATTAATATAATTATTAAGAATTTTATATGAAGAATATATTATGATAAATATTAGATATGTAAGATTACTTATTTTAAGTTTTTTGATTTTTAATTATATTAAGTTTCTCTCTAATTATTTATTATTGGAATTATAATTATTATTATTATATTTATAATTACTAATTGAATATAGTTAATTCTGTAATTTAATTTTCTTGATTAATAATGATTATATTTAGATATTCTATAAATTATAATTGTAATATTATAGAAATTGGCTAGTTATTAATTATATTTGAAATTTTGTATATAGAATAATAATTTAGTTAATATTTAATTAAGCTTGTGCTCTATTGAATTGAATTTAGATTATAAAAATTTGAGTTGAGTTAATAATATATCTATATCTGTATAAAACTTAAATAAAGAAAATACTTATTCAGTATCATTATTATTATTAGTTATTATTAATTCTGAGATCTGACTTGAATTATTATTTATAATTTCATAATTATTATACTTTG